ACAATAGCTATATGGGAAGGGTCGCTCTTTTCTTTCTGCTTCTCTACAAATATTTTTCCTAGGCTGTGTATTTTACTAAATAAGATAATATCCCCAGGAGTAGATGAATCTTTTCAGATGAAGAGCTATCAATTACTGCCAAGAAGGTCAAAATACTTGAAAGACGTAGTTCTTTAAAAAAAAGAAAAAGATATAGTATAAGGAATCAAAATACCAACATATCAACTATAACCTAAGACATAATATGATAAATAAAGCAACATTAATTAAAGACACAGGAGAAATTTCACCGACAGAAGGTTAAAGCAAGAGAAAAGGTAACTACCTATGTTTTCTTTTAAAGTAATCACTGAGACACAGAATCAAACTACAGGGCTAAAAAACATACAGGAAACAAAGCATGCTCTGGGCAGCTGGCCTAGAATGAACAGCTAAGAAAGGGGCATTTAAAGGAGCTTCTTTTTAATTATCGCTGTGTATGAAGAGAGGTGGAAATGACTGCAGTGCTTCCAGAAGCCAGAAGAGAGCATCAGATCCCCTGGAGCTGGAGTGACAGCAGGTACTTGTGAGTCAAGGGGCATCCTCAACTTCACATACTCCATACTCTTTATCTGCTAAGCCATCTCTCCAACCCCATGAATGCAGATACTTCAAGAGATTTCAGCAGGCCGGGATAAAGGAGTCATACTAATTTAGTGAACTAAGCAGAGAGGGGTCCATTTAGAATCATCTGTTATTAGTTACATCAGATCTAGAATTGTCTTTCCTTAACCCAGAGAGAGGCAGAAAAAATGAAAACCAGCTTGTAAGATACAAAAGCCCCTAAGCCTACTTAATGTGCCACACCAGGATTAGGAATAGACGTGTTACCTGAGAATATAAGGATATAAGCACATGAAGAAATGTCTGCCAGATAGTAAGTAGTAACACCAACAGTCCAGCTGAATGTGCACAGAAGGAGTACACAGAACATTTAGTACACATGGTCTTGATATTCTCTCCATGGGTACTTCACAACTTGAGACCACTACTTCAGTAATCACTGAGCAGTTTACTTCACAACTTGAGACCACTACTTCAGTAAACACTGAGCAGAAGAGGGAACTAAAAGCAGGTATTCATATATGACTGAGTAATGGAAAAGTAGCTTTGATGAAAGTAAAGGCAATGAATACTGAAAAAAGAAAAGTGGAGACTAAAGTAACAGGAAGGCTTTGAAACTACAATTTTCAGGGAAAAAAAAAAAACATAAAAGATGAAGGAAAAGAGACCATTATACGACTCTGTATGTCTTGAGAAACTTGGGACAAAGAGAAACACATGCCCCTTTAACTGCTGAGCCACCTCTCCAGTTACTATTTAGTTTTGATTATCATTACTCTGTGTATATGTGTATGAGCAAGCACCCACGTACACACGATGTGTATGGTGGTACCAAGGCACACATGCAGAGACAAGACAGTAACTTTATGAAAGCCTCTCTGCTTCCACCTTTATGCAAGCTCAAAGGACTAAATTAGGCTACTAGCTTTACTTACTAGCCATCTTGGTTTTTATTTTGCCTTGTTTTGTTTTTCCAAGACAGGGTTTCTCTGCATAGGCCTGGCTGTCCTGAAACTTGCTTTGTAGACCAGGTTGGCCTTGAACTCAAGAGATCGCCTGCCTCTGTCTCCCAAGAGCTGAAATTAAAGGTGTGCGTCGCTGCCACTGCCGCCGCCGCCACTGCCTCCACCACCACCACTGCCACCGCCACCAACACCACCACCAGGCTGCCAGGGAAGTTTTTGTTTTTTTAAGATTTTATTTATTAAGCCGGGCGTTGGTGGCACATGCCTTTAATCCCAGCACTCGGGAGG